TAATAATAATAACAATAATAATAATAATAACAACAATAATAATAATAATAATAACAATAATAAAGAACAATAATAATAGTAATAAACAATAGTAATAACAATAACAGTAATAGTAGTGATAGTAATAATGACAGTAATAATAATAGTTAATAATAATAATGATAATAACGGCAATAATAATAGTGACAACAGTTAATGATAATAATAAATAATAATGATAACAGTAATAATAATAGCAATAAATATTGATAACTCCAATGATAACAATGATAATGACAGTAATAAGAATAGTCGTAATGATGATGATAATGATAATTACGATGCGTCATGATGGAATATAACGTAGCACTGATGCGAAATGTTTGGTTGTGATTTGAGAAGAGCTAATAATGGTAGTGCTCCAAGATGATATACAGGGAAGATAGAAAAGCCAGACAAACTTACATATTCAAAGCACAGTTTGACTAAGTTAGAGCAAAAGTGTTAAAAGAAACGAATAAATAGCATGAAAATAAATGAATTTGAGAAAATAAAAAATTCGAGAAAGCACATATACTGAAAGAGACAGACTAATGAGACATTTAAAAAAAAATGAATAAATCAATAAGAGAAAGAAATGTGCACTATAATATAATACTTTGGCATTTCCCTAAGACTATTTTAGGATCAATTGTCTAGGCCTAAACATACATTTCATTTAAAACATCCCTAATGTGTGCAAGAAGGCGAAAAAAAAAAAAAAAATTAGCGCTTCAATTTTCTCCTTCCTTTCTCATCTCATTCTTTCTATCTCTCCCTCTTCCTCTCTCCCTCTCCTTCTCTTTCTCTTAAATATATAACTATTCCATTATACTGATCCCTTTTAAATATATTACTATTCCATTATAGTGATTCCTTCTTCCTTCCCTTTCTCTCCCTCTCTCCCTCTCTTAAATAAATTACTAATATGGTGATTTTTTTCCCTTTTTGGTCTTTTCTTTTTTTTTCTCTCTCTCTCTCTGTTAAACTCATCATAGTGATTAATATTGCATTATAGTGATTACTACGCCATTATAGTGATTATTACTCCATTATAGTGTATTTTTTTTCTTCCTCTTTTCATCTCCTTCTTTTTCTCTCTCTCCCTCTCTTCCTCTCTCTTTTTCTCTTTCTTCCTCTCTCTTTTTAATACATTATTACACCATTATAGTGATTTCAATTGTATTGCATTGGTTGATTTGAGAAGTTATCGATTGTATCTGAAGTATAAAATTGAATATTTTAATGATTAGCTGATAACACATATGCCACAAATTTGCATATTATTTCAATAATTTAACAGATAATGATAATTTCCATGCATGTATTTTTTTAATTATCAATAGAAATTGTATTATTATATCTTGTAAGTTTTAAAATTCGAATAAAATGCTAATATTATGCTAACATTTATCTTATTGTAAAATAAAATGCTAATATTATGCTAACATTAAAATTATAAAATGCTAATATTATGCTAACATTTATCTTATTGTAAAATAAAATGCTAATATTATGCTAACATTAAAATTATAAAATGGTAATATTAAAATTATAAAATGCTAATATTATGCTAACATTTATCTTATTGTTACCCTTATAATATCGATTGACAAGCAATAAATCATTGATATAACAATTATTGAGATTAAAAAGGAATGATAATTATCGTAGTAGTAGTAGTAGTAGTAGTAAGATTATCAAGGGAATTATTTATGTAAACATCTCGGATATACTAAATAATGGGTAGTTGATAAACTAAACAAAAATAATGCTATCTAAAATTAAATGTCATAAATATAGCATTTCTTTTTTTTTTTTTTTTGAAAAAAAGGAAAAAATTAATTTATAAACTATAATAAATTGATCCTAAAATTTGGCAAAAATATAACTTATCAGTTCTAAATTTAGCAAGAAAAAAAAAAAAATTATTCCCAAGGTATATGCCAAAGGATGTAAAGTAATTTAATTTATATTACAAATGATTCATTAGTGAATTAGTAACTTTTGGAAATTTTTTGGAAGATAAGAGGTGAAATTAAAGAATTAATGAAAAATATTCATCAATTAATTAAGCAGACTTAGTAAGGTTGGAAGAAAAAAAACAGCAAATTTGATGATCGAAAAAGTGAAACAATTATTTCCCTCTTATGTTATTCGATATGTTTGAATGAGAAAATTTGTTGAATTAGAAATTTCTCAAGGTGATAATCATTAAATCAGAATGATAGTCACTAAATCGAAGTGATAATCACTAAATAACAGGATGGCAATCACTAAATCGAAATGATAATCACTAAATAACAGGATGGCAATCAGTAAATCGAAATGATAATAACTATATATATCAATTTTATATTAGTCGAGTTTATCATTTTGATTACTGTATGTAATAGAAATTTAATCCGTTTGTTAATGATAGGAAAGGTGAATTTAGTGATTATCATTTCAGGAAATCGATTAAAAATTGAAAGAATAAGTAAAAATAAGTACTTCTAGAAAAAGAACAAATACTTTTAATATTAATTATGGGAGAAACTATGAGGAAAAGTTGAGACGGAATGAATTAATATTTGAATATGTGACCTGAAATCATAGGTCTTTCAAATAGAAAGAGAGAGAGAAAGAGAGAAATCCGATCGGTATAATTAAATAGTCTTGATGATTTCAGGAAGTTATATCCATTTAATTAACATCAGATCTATTCAATTTTGGTTATAGAAGAACTTTGTAGATTTAATTATTTTTTAATTTCTTTTTTTTTTTTTTGAAAATTCCAGTCTTTCAGATAGAAAGAGAGAGAGGGAAAGAGGAAAAGGGAGAAATCCGATTGGTATAATTAAATAGTCTTGATGATTTCAGGAAGTTATATCCATTTAATTAACATCAAATATTTTATTCAATTCAATTTAGGTTATAAAAGAACTTTGCAGATTTAATTATTTTTCAATTCTTTTTTCCTTTTTTTTTAAAAAAATTCTAGGTCAGAAAAACAAAAAACACTAATTTAATTTAATATTAATAAAAGATAAACGAATATATACCATCGATAGTTGATGGTGTACCATTAATAGGCGATGATAGTGGTTGGCGCCGATTGTCCAATTCGATTGTATCCATGGTGAATTTTGTCAAATCGTTACTAAAATAATAATTAAATACATAAAATATTTCAAATTTTTAGCCTCAATTTTCTTTTTTAAATAAAATCTGAATTACTACCAAAGAAAATTCATTTTTAAATTGCAAATTGAAATATAAAATGAATAAATTAAATTTGAAACATTACCATTCAACTGCAATAATTTTTTTCAATTGCAAGCTAAAATAATTAGCAAAAAGTGTAGAAAACATTGAATATTCAAAATTCGATTGGAAAATTTGCAAAAATGATTAGGAATGGTGGAATTTTTTTAATATCTTCAAAAATTTGAACAAAAAAAAAAAGTGAAAAAGAAAGAAAGAGATGAACTTACTATTTTGGATAAATTGTAAAAGTTGTTTGATCGGTCGTTATTTCATCAATATTTGTTGTATCAGAGGATTTTTGAAACCATACTCGAGCAATTTCACTAATTTGTTGAGCATACTCACAACAATCATCCCATAATGTTATTGTTGAATGTGATTCATCCATTATTTCATTATTAATATCTACTAATTAGCAAAAAATATGGTATAATTTCCTTCATTTTTTTCGACATTAATTTCATTAAAATTTAATGTAATTCAATTATAAATTGCCAATTTTTCTAAATTTAATAATCAATATGATAATGAATTTATTAGCCAAAAATATTGTACAAAGTTAATAATAACCTTTGTAATTCAATTTTCTCAATTATTTCAATGTCAACATTTCATTCTTATTCGTCACTACCTAAATTTACCTTTCGTATGTTAATAGATATCAACATTTTATCTGTCAAATAAAGACTCACCTGGTTTATATTCTTCAAGGAATGGATATAAAGCTGGATTTCTATCAATATTTGATAATTTCGTCGTATTTTTACGAATTGTATTTTTAACATCAAATGTAAATTCATAAAAATTTGGTAATTTGCTTCGTTTAATTGATGGTATTCGATCCATAAATCCATCATCATTGTTATCATCAAGATCATTATCATCATCATCATCACCATCATCATCATCATCGTCATCATCAAGATTAAGATCAACATGATTTTCATCATCATCTTCATCATCATCATCATTTTCAATACTTTCACCTGGCCCATACTCGATATCATTTTTATCATTCATACTCCGATAATGTATTGTATGTTGTTTGAGATTTGACAAATTTTGAATATCATTATTGTTGATCATTTTTGTCGTGAAAAAATATCTCACTTGTTCCAAATCAATCATTGTTTTTGGCATTTGATCTAATATATTCAAGAATATGATCGGCATGGTATTGGATCAACCAAAATAGAATATTGATTTTTCTCATGATATGATAAAAATTCTTCCTTATCAAAATTGTCAATTTGATTCGATACATTCATCATATTTTCATCATTGGTTACATTCTTCAAAACATTGAAAAATGTTGTTGTTGGTTGTTGTTTACATTTCATTATCATTTCCTTATTCTTATCCATATCATTGAAATTTTGTTGATTAATGATATATGAATTGTTGTTATCATTATGTTGAGAAAATATTGGTACTGTAACTTGAGGATAAATTTCATTATGCAAACAATCATTCCCATGTGTATCCTCTAATTGTACATCATCTACGCATCGAATCCATTCATCATCTGATGTATCACTTCCACTATTATTATTCATCATTGTTTGCTTCATTCCATCTTCTGGTTTAGAAGCATATTTATGACAATCGGGTGAAGAACATCTATAAAACTATTTTTATAACTATTTGAAATTGTATGAAATTAATATTCAATGCAAAGATTGTATTTAATGCTAATTTATGATATTATTATCAGTGATAAGATTGTTATCATTTCAAAAATAATATCTCATAATATCAATAATTCTTTTTCATTTGAATATTTTTCTCTTCATTTTTATCATATTTTCCTGCCAAAAACCATTTAATCATTTAACCATTTTCATTTAATAAAAACCATTTCATTTTAATTTAGTAATGTAAAAATTTTAAAAGTGAACGTAAACAAATCTAAAAATACTATGAGTAAAATTTAAATTTTAATATAAACATATGTAAAAATAACATAATGAAGTATGAAATATTCTTTTTTCAAATTTTATAATAAAATTTAAACAAACCTATTATAATGATTTTGTATAACACAATCCACATATGATGTAATCATTCGATCATGACAGCTTATACTTTGACGCATACCTATTCCACAATGATCCATTGATGGTGATGGTACTCTTGTAATCCAACCCATTTTAGTTTCCCTATAAATTTAGTTAATATTTGAATTGATTTTTTTTTCTCTTTTTTTTGTGAATTCTTCTTTTTCTTTTTTTTTTCTTTAACAATATTAAAAAATATTTATATAAATGGAGAAAATTTCATGAGGTATGAATAATACTTAAATGAATAAAAATTACAATTAATAAATGATTTTTTTTTTTAAAATTATTTCAAAAAAAAATTTTCATTCCAATAATAGCTAAAAATTTATTGAAAATGAAGCAAAATTAAGCGATAATTATTTATTAATAAATTAATGAATTATGACAAAAGAAAAGAAAAAAAAAGATTAAAAATGAAAAGAAACCATAAATCTAAACTTCCAAGTGATTTTGATATATTTGCAAATGTTGATGATCCAATTTCATGATTTTCATTTGGTTGTTTTATAGTTTCAAAATTTTCACGTAATGTTCCTTTTGCAAAATTTATCAATGCTTCTGGTGTCCATTTATTAACCGTTTCCTCAATTTCTGGTAATTCATCCATAAAATTTATTTCTTCATCTCTGTAAAAAAAAAAGAATGAAATTGAATTATGAATTTAAAAAAAAAAATGAATTATGAATTTAAAATTTGAACTAAAAATTTTTAATTTAATATCAATTATATGAAAAAAAATTGCGAAAGAAAAATTGAAGGTAAAAATTTCATTTAAAAAAAAAACGAAAACTTCACTGATGTGGTGATGGACTAGCATCATATATGCAAAGTGAATCATTCTCCGAAATAGCTCTTGGATATGTTTTATTTGACAGGTGATTGGAATAGGTTAAATTGCTAACATGAATTGATACCGGTTCATTGAAATCCAAAATGCTTGTACGCATCTCTTCATCGTATCCGCATAAATTAGCACTAAAATGTATGAAAAGAAAAAAAAAAGAATAAGCAATGAATAGTTTAGCGATGCTTAATATTTTAACTCTAAAATCTTTCTATGATAATAATAATTTTAGAAAAAAAAATTTTTTTTTGAATTTATTAAGAAAAATAATGTTTAATATTTGTTACCAATGTAAAGATTCAGATTTTTCATTGGTTACAATTCCTTCATTGAAACAAGCATCTTCTGAACTTGATAATTCTTCAGTTGTCTAAAAAATAAATTTCATCAAATGAAATAAATTTTGGAAAATTTTTTTACTGAAATAAATGATTTTCTTTGGTGAAGTCTTTCAGTTGTTGTTTTTTTTTTTTAATCTTTGATCTAAATTTTTCTAGTGAAATAAATGATTTTCTTTGGTGAAGTCTTTCAGCTGTTGTTTTTTTTTTAATCTTTGATCTA